TTCTTCAGCGTTAAAAATGAATTCAAACGCTTCCAGGTGTCAGCAAAACAATCATAGTTATCCCATGAAGGAATTGGCACAGTACCTCTGAATAGCAGAAAAAATTCAGGCTTGTTATTATGCCTCAATTTAATTGACTTGTATCAGATTATATTACATTGTATTGCAAGTATGTGCCAGAAAAAAAAGCATATTTAGCTTTGAAATTCATTTCAGTTTGTAAAAGCGAGCAAATGTCGCTTTTACAAATGGAGTCGTATGAAATTTGCTGGCCCCTATGTTTGCAATCTGCTCACTGTTGCATTATTTTTTGGTGAAGAAAAGGTAACAGTTTAGTTTAAAGACGAATTGTGACTTGCAATTGACTTATTACCTGTATATTATTAAGATATTAGCTGTTTATTAGTACTTATGAAGTACATATTCTGAATGATCTTCAGTCCTATCTAATACCTAAACCCATTAATGTCCTTAATAACTATTAATAAACAGCAGCAAATTAGGAGTCTACAGAGGAAAAAGTTATAGTTAATGGTTTATAAACAGTGAGAATTGCATCTTAAAATAAAGTGTGATCAATGAGTACAGTACAATAACTGTGGACCAAGTGTTTTCCCGTGGGCTATATTAAATGTAATGTTCATTGTTTGTTCATGTTACTAAATACATGTCTGGCATTAACTAATATATCCTTAATGAAATGCCAACCAAGGCTCATTCTGAATACGTACCCCATATACATTTCTGGTAAGCACCAAATATGTCTCAGGAGGTAAATTTTTTGCAGTTTTTGTTTTCGTCAATCGACCAGAGGCCACTGTGCACGCTTTTTGAGATCTTAAATTTCTCTTGCGAGTGCTTTTCGTGCCATTCATCTCACGTAAACGCACCAGAGGTCCCTATTGACTTTTGACTGACCAATCGACTGACCCGCCTTCCTCCTTCCCTAAACCCAACTGATAGTGTTTTCAAAAGCAATGCAGAAAAAGAAAAGCATTGCAGCCTGATTTTTTTTACCATGCTTTTAGATTTTACCACAATTTTACTATGTTATTTACTTGTTTATTGAGTTTTTTGGCTTTTGTTTTTGTCTGACCTGCTTTCTGGAACCGTTCTTCACCAGAATCAAACCCCATCATTGCAGTCAACTCAGCTCCACGTTACAAGTCCACCAACGTATGCGATAAGCCACTGGACAAACTGGTAACAGTGGGAAAGCATTCCATACGGAGGTAAGCGGTCAACTGTTAAGCGCGAAAAGGCACAGCATCGTACCGCCCCGTAGTGTTTATTTTAAAGATGAAATGCAGCCATGCAAACCTCTGGCTACATAATTTGCGATCTCCAGAAATATATATAGGGCTACGTTGTCAGAATGAGCCGATGTTGCAAAATGCTCTACTCCTAAAGAGTTCAAACAACAGAAAAAAACATATTATTTACATTAGCTTTTGATCTTACAGGAATGTGTTTTAATACTGAAACAGGCTGTTATGCCTGTTTCACATTGCAAGCGCAAGCAGAGCGTCAGCAGCGCATGCGCAGCACATATGGAGAGCAAGAAGCTCATCGCAAGCTGCAGCACAGATCAATTTATTTCTGTCTATTCTATCTAGTTACTTATCTATCTATATATACACTTTTTAAAACTTTTCATCTGCACCAAGGTTCGCGGCAACTTCCTCCTATGTTGTTTCCTTAACCTGCAAGTCTTTATTTTACAAATGATACAGTTGAAGTCAGAATTATTAGCCCCCCTGTTTATTTTTCCCTCAATTTCTGTTTAATGCTTTTTTCATCACATTTCTAAATACAATAGTTTTAATAACTAATTTATAATAACTAATTTTATTTATTTTTGCCAGGATGACAGTAAATAATATTTGACTGGATATTTTTCAAGATACTTCTATACAGCTTAAAGTGACATTTAAAGGCTTAACTAGGTTAATTAGGTTAACTAGGCAGGTTAAGGTAATTAGGCAAGTTGTTGTATATGATTTGTTTTTTCTGTAGACTATAGAAAAAAAAAATAGCTTAAAGAGGCTAATAATTTTGACCTTAAAATGGCTTAAAAAAATTAAAAACTGCTTTTATTCTAGCCGAAATAAAACAAATAAGACTTTCTCCAGAAGAAAAAATATTTTCAGACATACTGTGCACATTTCCTTGCTCTGTTAAACATCATTTAAGAAATATTTACAAAAGAAAATGAATTCAAAAGGGGGCTAATAATTCTGACTTCAACTGTATATATCATAAAGAGCTGTATATGCTTCTCACGCTTCTCACGGTCATTCATGTCTTTTCAGGCGCACTAGGTCAGAGGACAATCGTCTGTGATAACATGTCATTTAGTTTTTGGTTGTCAGGAATGGATGATGTAGGCCTATAGTTATAATAATATTTAAACAATATAGTTGTAATGATATTTATAAATGATCAAACTAGTGTGCAACTTAAGCAAAAGTAATACTAAAATTGTTTTAAATTTGGTTAA